GTCGGTTATATATATGTAAATAAATATATAAACAAGTTTTTTATTGGGAGCGGGAGTGGAGCAAGAGCGAAGCTCGGAGCGATGAAAAAAAAACACTTTTCTTCGAAGCTCTGGTTTTAAATAATGAAAAATCTGTAATCTTCCGATTATTTTTTTGCTTTGCTTGCTGTTCGTTTTTGTGTAAATTAAACATAAAAAAATTCTTATTTCATAAGATTTTCTGAATTTGCGGGGTTTGCAGGTTTTATCGGGAGTGTCGGGAAAGGATTTTGGAAAGATTTTTAAAGCCCTTCCCGTTGCCGAACATGCCGGCCATTTTGAAATCAGTACCGTGGGACCCGATATCCTGCGCACATCTCTAATACTAAGCCAGTCTACTTTGTCCCGCGCGCCATGGCGTATGAGTCATCTAGCAATACCAATATTCACTTCAATTTAAAGAGAAATTTCAAGGCATTGTAACTTTTGTGTTTATTACTTAATCGCTACGCTTCCAAGGATCATGTATCACTTACCCAAAATTTTTAATTTTATGAGTTCATGTAAATATTTGTACTTAGTAGGTCAAGGATAGAAGGATTTGAAATAGATATACGGTAGCTAAAATTATCTTTTCAACCAAGTATCAACTTTGAAATCCAGTAATAAGTATATATAAATATAAATGCATCTTCAACACTACTAATACTAATACAAGTTCCATACTTTCTGAACTCCTCTTTTCCTACCGGGAAGTTTCAGCACGTTTATTTATATTGCTTGCAAATAGCAATTCAATTGATTAGGCGTTGGGGCCATTGAATTCGCGCTAATGACATTTTAATTTGACCACCTATATACTGAAGTAAGTTGATGATGCCAACAGCTCCTACTACATAGTATGTAAATATGTACATATATATGTATATGTAAGGTTGCATTGCTTTGTAGGGTAGACTATTTAGTGAAACCGCCCACTTACTCAATGAAGTGTCAGTCGATGAAGGTAAGTGGGGGTTGATTTATTTGCTTATACCCAATGCTTAATGAAATAAATTGAAAAATCTTAAATGCGTTGACATTCAAATGAAATAATTTGTTTAAGTATAAATATAAAATATGTCGGTATAATTTTAAGTTTCTAAGCAAGCGATAGCTGAGGTTAGAAACGGAAGTGCGCAGTTACTGGTAATGAATGCGACGCACAGTAGAAGGCCCCCCTCCCCCATATAAAATATGGCAAAAAGTACAATATCTATTTCGTTTTTGCAGTAATTTGTTATCTGTGGTAATTTTGCATGGGAATGGAGAAATCTGTGAAGATATTATAGATTGGAAAACATACATAAAATTCGGTTTGTGGCTTGGTTTTAAACAGAGAAAATTTAATCTGTAAAATGGTTAAAATCGGCTTATTGTTATGCCCAATTCTTCTTCTTCTTCTTCTTCTTCTTCTTCTTCTTCTTCTTCTTCTTCTTGTTGGCGTGGTCGCCTCTTTTGTGGATTGGGCAGAGCACACTTAAATTCCAGTCGTTGGGCATGCGTTCATCTGACAACACTCTGCATATGAGTTGATGCATGCTCCTTATCAGCTCCTCGCCGCCGTACTTGAATAGCTCAGCTGGCAGGCTGTCAGCTCCAGCAACTTTGTTGTTTTTCTCTCGCATAATTGCTATTCGTACCACGTCATAGTCAGTCATGAACTTTCAGTGCTGCTACCATTCAGTAGGGTGGAAAAGTGTTCCCTTAAAAATTTAAGCACGTTCTGTACATCGGTCAGTAGGTCGCCTGAAACCTTCCGTAAGTCTCCTTGCACTCTGGTAAAATTTCGGGCAGTTTCCTGCCAAGCCCTTAGCATTCACGCCGTTATTTAAATATATTGTATTTTTTTTTTACAAATAAGCAAACAAATCTTTAAAATTCCCATAGAAAATGCCGGACACTTTTATTTCCTTCTTGTGTTTGGAAGTTCTATTCTTGTTGCATGTTGCCAGGGGGTAGACGCTTTCTGACATCATGAAAATTAAATTGAAGGAAGTTGAAAGTGGGACTATTAATGATGATTTGATGTCAATAGTACCTGTACTATTCGCATTGGTAATGCTCTCCGCACAACACCTACTAAAGCTATGCATATGACTCTAAACATCCTACCCACAGAAATTATACACCGTTTATAAGAAATGTGATTAAAGTTGGAAAAAAATTCATATGTATGTCTGGCTGTATCTGAACGTGCAGAGGTGCTTGCTGATATTTGTTGGCTTCCAGCAGGTCCGGATTCGAATGCCGTCAGCGGTAGCACATAATTTTTATTTTTTTCTTTCTGTTTTTGATTTTTATTAATTACAAAAAAAGCATCTGTGAAGTGCAGAACATAAGCGCATTTAAACGAATTTTTTTTAATGTAAACAAAAGTGTTGTGAATATAACCACATCGTTGTTGAAAATATCAACCAAGGCATTGTTAATATTAACCAAAAGTCACTTTGATTCCTTTTTAAGCTGCAATGTGGTAATACTAACAAATTTTTGGTTGATTTGTTTCTCAGTGTACGCATGAAATATGCTGCAAGTGTAGTCCTAAGACTATGGGAGTTGAGAAGCTGGAAAGCGGCTCTATGTGGCCAAACTACTATCGCCATTAAGCCGCAACTGTTTCTAGCCAATGTAGAGAAATGCAAATTATTTAGTTCTGCTTTGAATTATTCCACATACAAATGCTAAAAATATTGTTACCTTAATTCACAAAGGCCCTAACCAATACTTTTTTCGAAACTGCGTTTTTCACAGATTTTGCTGGGATATATTAAAATACACCTTCAATAAAAATTTTAAAGTGCTAGTTCCAAATACAACAGCCACTTTTAAAAAAGCCCTATCTGTTTTTCATACTCTTTTTTATAATGTTTTTTTGCTTCTCCTGTAAAATAAAAGAAAATTGTGGGCTAGGGCCTTTGTGAATTAATGTAACGATATGTATTATTAAATATATGAGAAGAAATTAGATGTACACTTTGCATTGTTTAACTTGTTTCTCTTTTACTAACATATTTTTCAGAGCATCGGCGTAGCTCAAGCTGTCTTCAATAACGACTGGACAAATGCACACACACATTATCAACAGATGTTGGTGTTAGTAGTGGCGCGCGCCCAAAAACCGGCAATACTAAAGGCAACAAGCTTTGTACACGTTTCACGTGGCACAATGACTGATGTGAGTATGATGAAGAGATGGAAGGCGGATGAAAGAAATAACAAAACTGTACTTTTTAGTCTTAGTTTACCAGATTTTGCTTAATTTCTGCACTTTGTTTCTTTTTGTTTTTTTTTTGGTTGTAATACGAATTTTATTTAAAAGAAAAATTGAAAGTTCTTTAACACTTTTATTCCAACTGTAACTGGTTTTGAGATGTGAAAACTAGCTAAGAAGCGTGTACTATTTCAACAAGTAAGACAATTGAAAGACAGTACAGTACGCCAGGGGGTTTAAAAGATTTATTTCTTTTAGTCTGACGCGAAAGTCTTACCAAAAAAGCTCCTTTGCCCACTCATGGTAAAAAGC